ACTTTTAAGGATTTTTAGGGCCTTAAATTTGGAAAAGCCAATTTAAGACTTTTTAAGGATCCGCGGATACCCTGTCACTGCAAATGACACAATACTCTTTTAAACTAAAGCCATCTCAGATGAATGAAGAAGAATTTATGTATTATAAGACTAGATCAATAAAAATCAGGAAATTGATTTGAAAGGAAAAACTTACTGCGTATTTGTCTCTTAATTTCCTTTGTGGGATCCAACCAACACTGTAGAGATGGAAGAAGAGGGGCAAAAAGAAAAGGAGAAATCAACCAATATTCATCTGTAGATTTGATCATTTAACCCTTTAATGGAAACAAAACAGTAGTGCGTTTGGCATTTTTTAAATAATTTGAGACCATTTTTAAATAATTTGAGACAATAATGATACATTTTATGATAATATTATAAAAGCAATATAAATCTTCAGGTAAAAACAATTTATGACAGTGTGTTTCATACATGTTCAAATATGTTTAGACTTTTGTTAAATTTATTAGTTTGTTTTTCTCCTTTGAGTTCAGTGTAAGCTTCAATAAAATATAGAGAGCAGACAGATGTGCCAGTTGAGAGGTTAATGGAATTCTCTGGTTTTCTGGCATCTTGTGGCATTTTCACACCTGGCTCGGTCCTGTCACGGTCAGGATGGAGGCGGTGGAAACCAAAATGCAGAACCCAGAACGACTCAAGGCAGGAGAAGTCTTCGAAAGAAAATCTTTTATTTTAAAGGAGGATGTGCCAAAGTTCAAAAGGCACTAAAAAAAACGAACCAAACTTCATCTTATCAAAAACAAACAGAAACTCATTCGTGAGCACGGACTAGGAAGACACGAGGAGGACAGAAGCACGCTGATGAATGCAATGAACCAACAGACAGAGTGACAAGACAAGGCTTTTAAACACAGAGGGAGGTAATCAGGAAAACAGGTGACAGGTGTGAGGAGTGTGAGGTGAGGAGAAACTGGTGCAACCAATAAACTAAATGGGAATGGAAAGAGCTTGACAGGAGGGTAGATAAACATTAACCAATAAAACATGGATCTAACTAAACCTAAAAGACAAAAGGGCAAAAATAAACCACTAATAACCAGATGGGTGAGGAGAACTAATCTAAAGACAACTAGGAAAACCAGGGAGTGACTTGGAGGACACAAGAGGAGAGCCTGGAGTGGGAACAGGAGGGGGCTGGGGAACAAAGGGACACAGAACATGACAGGTCCAGTTTTGGTTTGGCATGCCCCTGCACAGCCATGATGTCTGGTTCACAGCCATGATGTCTGGTTCACGTCATGATGCCTGGTTCACGCCATGATGCCTGGTTCACGCCATGATGTCTGGTTCACAACCATGATGCCTGGTTCACGCCATGATGTCTGGTTCACACCATGATGCCTGGTTCACAGCCATGATGTCTGGTTCACGCCATGATGCCTGGTTCACGCCATGACGCCTGGTTCACGCCATGATGTCTGGTTCACGCCATGATGCCTGGTTCACAGCCATGATGTCTGGTTCACACCATGACGCCTGGTTCACACCATGATGCCTGGTTCACGCCATGATGTCTGGTTCACACCATGATGCCTGGTTCACAGCCATGATGTCTGGTTCACAGCCATGATGCCTGGTTCACGCCATGATGTCTGGTTCACACCATGATGCCTGGTTCACAGCCATGATGTCTGGTTCACAGCCATGATGCCTGGTTCACGCCATGATGTCTGGTTCACACCATGATGCCTGGTTCACAGCCATGATGTCTGGTTCACGCCATGATGCCTGGTTCACGCCATGATGCCTGGTTCACGCCATGACGCCTGGTTCACAGCCATGATGTCTGGTTCACAGCCATGATGTCTGGTTCACGCCATGATGCCTGGTTCACGCCATGATGCCTGGTTCACGCCATGATGTCTGGTTCACACCATGATGCCTGGTTCACAGCCATGATGTCTGGTTCACAGCCATGATGTCTGGTTCACGCCATGATGCCTGGTTCACGCCATGACGCCTGGTTCACAGCCATGATGTCTGGTTCACAGCCATGATGTCTGGTTCACGCCATGATGCCTGGTTCACAGCCATGATGTCTGGTTCACAGCCATGATGCCTGGTTCACAGCCATGATGTCTGGTTCACAGCCATGATGTCTGGTTCACAGCCATGATGTCTGGTTCACAACCATGATGCCTGGTTCACGCCATGATGCCTGGTTCACGCCATGATGTCTGGTTCACGCCATGATGCCTGGTTCACAGCCATGATGTCTGGTTCACGCCATGATGCCTGGTTCACGCCATGATGCCTGGTTCACACCATGATGTCTGGTTCACAGCCATGATGCCTGGTTCACGCCATGATGTCTGGTTCACGCCATGATGCCTGGTTCACGCCATGATGTCTGGTTCACGCCATGATGCCTGGTTCACAGCCATGATGCCTGGTTCACGCCATGATGCCTGGTTCACACCATGATGTCTGGTTCACAGCCATGATGCCTGGTTCACGCCATGATGTCTGGTTCACGCCATGATGCCTGGTTCACGCCATGATGTCTGGTTCACACCATGATGCCTGGTTCACAACCATGATGTCTGGTTCACGCCATGATGCCTGGTTCACAACCATGATGTCTGGTTCACGCCATGATGTCTGGTTCACAGCCATGATGCCTGGTTCACACCATGATGTCTGGTTCACAGCCATGATGCCTGGTTCACGCCATGATGCCTGGTTCACAGCCATGATGCCTGGTTCACAGCCATGATGCCTGGTTCACACCATGATGTCTGGTTCACGCAGCCTTCTCGGGAACACGAATATCTCAGAGCATGTGGGCCGAGCGAAAGATGTGCAGAGAAGTCTGTGATGTTCCCCTTAAGTTAGGGATGTCCCGTTCCGATATCGGAAGTAATTCGATATCGGCCCAAAAACAGTATCGAATTATATCAGATGGCATCAAAAATCTCCGATATAAGCAATTCGTTAAGGTTCATATTTTTGCAAACAATGGTTAAGAAAAAATTATCTGTCAAGTGCCGGGGTGAGTACTCCTCTCATTTTCCCATCTTTGAGTTGTGTGTTTCAGGAGAGGGAGGCTCCAGCTGCAGCTGATTTGCAATCAGCGGGTCTTGCTACAAAAGGAGGATGGAGAACACTCCTCGACGCCGGATGATTACTACAGCTTGGTAGTTTCCTGCCCTCTTGCGACTCTTGGATTTTGTGCTCTAGTGTTTCTAGGATTTTTTGTGAACCTTTGGATCTTTTCCCTGTGCTTACCCGTTACCAGGTTGTGATTTCTCTGGATTACGTCTTTGGATTTCTGCGACTCCTCAGGATTACTCACCTGTGCCCCATAGGATTTCCAGACGCAGCTCTCACCGTTCTCCATTCCTCCCGGCCGGCCCGCTCTCCTCTCGCTCCCTCTCCTGGACGCCCCACTTGGATTCACCTCGGCACCCAACCTACCCTCTCTCATTCCTACGCTCCCCTACTCCCCGTAAGTCTATTCTCTGAACCCACCAAGTTTAGACTTACAATCCTGGACTCACCTGTATCTGCTCACCACTCCTCAGACGCTGCTGCGCTCCCGTTCTCGATCTCCACTGGGTTTTTCCAGTGCACCTTCAGTTCCCGTTTTAAAATAAAGATTCTTTTTTTTTTTACCATACGATCTGTGAGTGTGTGACTCTGCATGTCTTGGGTTAAACGCATTCCCCAAACCATGTAATTATAGTTTTTTTTTCATACTTACTGCTATTGGCTCTTGTTCTCCGATTGAGTAATTTCACTTGAACAACCTTTTCATACATTCCTCACTACGAAATAGGTAAAAGTACGAATGATTTGTGCTGATATCGTATTAGATTAATATTGGTATTGGTCAATACTGAAGGCTGCAATATCCGTATCGTATCGGAAGTGAAACAGTTGTATCGGGACATCCCTACCTTGAGCAAGTAAACAAAAGGAGCCGTGAGCATCGTTGCTTTTGGATACTCTGGCATGAAGCACACGGCTTCTTACTGTCTCACTGAGCAGTGGTCCTCAGACTCCCGCGGCAGGTCCAAGCAGCAGTCAGAGAATAGGATTGCTCCACTGCATCAAGACTGATAATGAATCGCACATTCAGGAAGCCGCCACTGGCTGACGCTAGCCTGCAATCAGAGGCTACCACTTTAACCAGCATCTCAGCTGTACATCGGGGAGCAGCCGGTCCCAAAAAAATGGTCGGACGAGCATTGAAAACGCACAAATTACCCAGATGTGAACACAATTACCTACCAGGGTTTGAATGGGCCGACCCAGATGTGAATGCAACATAACTTCTGTGTGACATACCTTCTGTTCATGGTTGTCTTTGTATATCAGGCCAAAGTAGTCTTTCTCCAGCAGATTAAGATGCTCACACACCTTAAAGAACAAGAACTGACCCTTTGCACGCTTCTGTAAACACAGAGAAAGTTGTTGAGGTTATATAATAACTTGTCTGTATTTAACAATAAAAATACTCAAAAATGTTTCAAACATCCCATAAAAACAATGATTAAAGTGATGAAACAGGATAATGGCTCTATTTATTGTTTCATAAAGTTTAATTATGCTATTTTCCCAATAAGTGTTCCTGTTGAGATAAGTGTCTATCACCATGAAGCTCAAAAGCAGGTCAAGTTGTGCCAGAAACCTTAAAATAAGAAAAGCTAACAAAATAAATTTACGTAACAGTAGATCGCCCCTGCGTCTGCTTTATTTTTCCCTCCATACTTGCTCAGTTTCTCCATCAGTCTCTAGGCAAACGGACTCGTTCACAAGCCCGACTCGAGCCAGACATAAAATCCTCCAGACTCAGCTATGACACTGACATTTAGCACCCATCCATGTGTGTGTGCGTGCCTCTGTGCACACGCACACACATCGGCCCTCTTAACAGAGACAGAAGGTCACAATGAAGAGGGTGGAAAATAAAAGAAAGTCATCAGAAAGAATGGAGTCATTTTGAATGGGTTGAATTCTTGTTTTGCTTTTCTTTTAAACACAAACTGAGTCAAACAGACGGCGAGTGGCATTACTCAGATGGGCTGACAGACAGGGCAGGGAGCGTGGTACAAGTGGAAGCAAGAGGATGAAAGAATGCATTTTTCTGGTTTGTCCTGGGGCGGCTGAAAACATCTGCGGTATTTTCCTATACTTGGTCAAACTCAGACACCATTTATGATGCTGCTCAGTGCAAAGTGTAAAGCCGGGCGTACACTGTGCGACTTTTTCACTTTTTTGAGCCGATTTTCCACTCGTGCGGGAATCCACGAGATCGGGGCGAGTTTTGCGCCGAGCGTCGTGTAGTGTACAGGGGGTTACGAGAGGCGATTAGCACCACGTGACCAGCTACCGATCAGCAATCGTGAGCTCGCACGGACTTCTGGCGTGTTTGATATGTTGCTCGTCCCTCGTGAGGGTATCGCACTGTTGAAGCGGCGCTGCGAGCAGCTGCGACCCAAAAAGTATCAGAACCGCTCACGGCGCATGCGCAATCCTGCATCAACACCGCTCACCCGCTATTTCCCTAATAACACACGCTGTTCGTTTTAGTTTCTACACGTTTTTTTACTCACAAAGATTGTCAAGAAAGCGTGTTTGTCGTGTTCATGTCAGATTAAACTGATCACAAAACACAGATTTACTTTCTTTATTTCGTTTTCCTCATCCAACCCCCATAAATCCCTGTGTGTCCTCCTGCAGCGCTCCCGAAGGACAACAGGCAAGACAAAAAAGGCTGACGTGTTGAGTAAAAACGGCTATTTTTAGCATATTTTTAGGTCCGACGTGTTGCTACCAGACGTACAGCGTGAGCAGTCAGGTCGCATCCGAGAACTGGGTCGTGCAGTGTGAGCACATGACTCGTGAGAGCTGCCCTGCGAGGAAGTCGTACAGTTTGAGCTGAAGCCGAGTGCTACGAGTGAAAAAGTCACACAGTGTCCGCCCAGCTTAAGTGAGAACGTGACCTTTAGAGTTTTCCCATCTGCGTGCCTCCAAAAAATGTCAAACTAAGGGATTACATTTTTAAAATGTATGCATATAAAAAAGGCTTTGTGAGCCATTTGGTCCAATCTTGAAAATTACATTAAGAGTGATATAGTAAGCTCTTGTGCAATCTCATGACGGGTAAAATGCTAAACTTTTGTAGACACCGATTCTAATGAAACACCAGAACCACATGATACTGAGAGAACAAATGTCTGCACAGTTTTCAGTCTGAAGGCACTACAGGTAACAGCAATGATCTTTTAGTGGTTAATGTGTCTTAGTTTGAACTGACAGGGCGATTAGTGTTGAAAGTGTGAGTGAAAGCCTGTTGAACTGTGTGTTAAGCTAGGTTTATGCTTGACGCGTCCGCGAGGTTCGCACGGCTCCGCGCTGCAAAATTGCGTCATTTTAACAACCACGCCCCTCCACCGCGCCTCCGCACAGCCCAAAATTTCCGCAACACGCACCTAGGAAATTTTCTAACCACGCGAACGGTCGGACGCAGAAAAACATGGCGGACTGGCAAGAACTAGTATGGCAGAGGTTCGTAAATACAGACATTTGTATGATTCAGCTCTCAGAGATCACCGTGATCAACATGTTGTTAATAATTCTTGGAGAGAAATAGCTCGCACTGTCGGAAAAGACGAGGACGCTGTTAAAAATGCTGGAATGCCATGTTGTAAACAGTAATTTCTACTTCTACTATGGTGTAGTGTTGGATGCATGCTGTAGAGTAGGGCTGCAACTATCGAATATTTTTGTAATCGAGTACTCTATCGAATCTTTTTTTCGATTAATCGAGTACTCTAATAAATGACCCTTTTGTGTTTGTAAACCATTATATCAAATAGCATGTTATAATTATGAAAGACCTCTTAAAATGAGCAAGCAATTGCCAGTTATTCTTCAAGTTTTATTCAAAATTAGTTTTCAAAACTTCAGCACTTCAACTTTACTTCACAGTAAACAAATGCCTGTGCAAAAAATAAGTAAACAACCTGAGCCGATTTTCCCCTCGTGCGAGAATCTGCTAACCTGCAAGCCAGAGGATAGCTGTTGAAGTAGCGCTGCGAGCGGCTGCGGCCCAAACAGAACCAGAACCGCTCACGGCGCATGCACAAACAGCTCGCCGGCTGTTTCCCTATTAACACACGTCCGTTTTAATTTCTACACTTTTTTCTCACACAATAACAAGGATTGTCGAAAGCATGTTTGTCGTGGTTTTGTCAAACTATACTGATCACAAAACATTTATTTACTTTCTTTCGTTTTCCTCCGCCACTCATAAATACCCGTGTCCTCCTGCAGAAACCCCGAGGGACAACGGACATCAGTAACACAATAAAAAGTCCGACGTGTTGTGTAAAACTATTTTTTAGCACATTTTAAGTTTGACGTGTTGCTACCAGATGTACGGTGTGAGCTGAAACTGAGTGCTACAAACGAAAAAGTCGCAGTGTCTGCAGAATATATAGAAATACGGGCTAAAAAGCATTATCTTGTAGAGGCTCCGAGTCCGCTTGCAGAAGTGACATTTACAGGTGCTGCAGCATGGAGGATGTGGTGTTGTGGTAGGCTAAATCCGTTTTACAGTGTTTATACTGGACTACGTTTTTCACCTTACGACGTGAAAAATGGTCCCACACCTTTGACATTTTGTGTCTTTTTAGAACTCCACCAGGGTCCACGTTGTCCGCCATAGCTTAAGAGAAAGTTAAGTTACATTCGCTACTCGCGTGTGCGTTCAGCCCAGTGGGCATGTGCGTCACTTATTTCGGTCCGGGTGAAACACGACCCCGGGCGATTGCAAAGCCCTGAATTAATTAAATATGAATTAAACGAATCCTCGAGGCAGAGAATTTGACTCGAGGATTTTTTGTACTCGAATTATTCGAGGTACTCGAGGAATCGTTTCAGCCCTACTGTAGAGCTCCATGCTGCCCCCTACAGTTTGGGAAAATATTGGCTCACCCGCAGAGACGAGCCTCATGAACCATAAACGCTGCGAGTTGTGAAGCGCGTTCCATCCGCGAGCCGCATCACCAAGCGGAAAGTGAACGCGTCAAGCATAAACCAAGCTTTAGAGGCTTGCTGGGCAAAACAGAACATTTAATCTCTGGAATGCATTGTGCATCTCTCCCTCCCATGATCCTTTCTATGCCAGCGTGGTGGAGGGAGGGAGGGATGGATAAGTTACTGAGTGAGTGTGTGTGTGCATGTGTGTGTGTTTGCTATGAGACAATAGCATTTAGATGCAGTGTCAGCATTATCTGTAGCGACACAAAGCAGTTACTGTTCAAACAAATGTAGACTCTCCCAGACGTGCCACTGGCAGGCCGTAGACCAGGGAGCAGGTTTGTTACTGGTTACTGGTTATTTACCAGTGAGGAGTTTGAAAATGTGAAGTTCAAATCTCAGCCCTGGAACTCAGTGGCCACACTGAGCAGACTCCCAGTGAGTTGAATGGAGTGTGGGAATGTGAGGGGTGTAGAGCTAAAAATACGCATGCCACCAGGGAAACCTTTTGTAGCATAACTTACTGGAGTAATGAGAAAAGTACCAATAAAAAAGACACGGTTCTAAAGAGAGCATCTGTGAGGGTCTAATGCACCTGACCGTTAGAGGAACAGATGCAGAAAACTAATCTGAGACCCCCTAATCTGTGTGTGTGTGTGTGTGTGTGTGTGTGTGTGTGTGTGTGTGTGTGTGTGTGTGTGTGTGTGTGTGTGTGTGTGCGTGCGTGTGTGCGTGCTCTAGTCCCCAGACAAATCCCTGCAGCATGTTCTGCTTTGCATTTATCTTCTAAACCAGTGGTTCCCAACCTTTTTCCTAAGGGACCCCGTTTTTTACCAGTAACATTTCTGACGACCCCCTCCCATTCTCTCTTCCAGTACAAACATTATTAATAAATGATAGAATTGTTCAAGCACATTTTAATATGCTTTGATTCAACAGTAATAGTAGGCTCCAGTACAGAAGAAAGTCATTAACAAAACCAAACAGAGCATAATGTGCTTGACAGTTTGTATTACTTTTCTGAACACATTGTTTCTTGTAAACACGGATAAATCAATCATTCCTTTCAATAAACATTTGACTCATAAAAAAATACACTGAGCAAAATGTGCTTAAATGTGTATATTACTGTTTATACTAGATTATTTACTGTAAAGGCTGTGATTGATCAACCAGTCCTATCTTTAATGAACTTTTGACACTTGAAAATAAAACAGTGAGCTGAGCAAAATGTTCCTAAAAGTGTGTTACTTTTTCTGTACTAATTATTTCCTGTCTTAATATCAGTAAACTTTTCACTCATGAAAAAAAATGTGAGCAAACTGTAGGCTATAAACAAGTAATAAATGAAGTTTTAACCCCTTAAAGTGGGGAGGTCCTGGCGACCCACTGAGAGGCTTTGGCGCCCCCTTGTGGGGGGTCGGGACCCCCAGGTTAGGAACCACTGTTCTAAACTACGCCCCGAGCAAGTGATTCCACCATAACATCCCTTTGAGTCAGAAAGTTAAAAAACCCCTACACACACTCACGTACACACACACACACACACTCACATACACACACACACACACACACTCACATACACACACACACTCACATACACACACACACTCACATACACACACACACACACTCACACAATCACAGAAAGATGCTCTACAACCCCATTACTGATTACATCATCGTCAGAGTGCTGCTCACACGTCGCCTCCTTCAGTAACAGAGGGACACATGGCGTGTCGGTTGCTGGTTCTATCTTGACACCAACTGCAGATTTTTGGGTTTCTCACTCACATCCACACCAACTTCACTTCCCTTTCCTGTTCTCAGGATGCGCTTAGTCTTACCTCCACCTCACAGGTGAAGTCGGTCCCATCCAGGAGGGTGACGTGACACACTATCACCTTCATCTTGGTCTTTCTCACCACGCGAAGAGGAGACTGGAAAACAGATGTCTGCCCGTTCCCTTCAGCCTCCACCTGTCCTTCCTTCTTCTCCTCCTCTGCTCCTTCCCCCTCCTTTGTTTCCTTGGCTTCTTCTGGACTCTGCTCCTCTACCTCTTCCACCCTTTCTCCCTTGGCTGGCTGCAAGGAAAAATGGAAACATCAGATGCTATATCCAACTTAACTCCTTTCTAAAGAAGTTCTGAATTCCTGAGCACACAAATCTTGATCCAAACTGTGGAAGTTTTCTTCTGTAATTCCCCTTTAGTACTTTATAGAGTTGTTTTTTTAAAAAAAGAGGTGTTTCCTTTTGGCCGGACGACTGAAATGATCTCAGCGGGTGGGCCTGCCTGGCTCAGTGTGAAGAAACGACATCAGTTTTGTTAAATTATTAGCAGTTTTAAAGGGTTTCTTTCAAATCTGTTTTGTTTGTTCCTCATAAAATAAATCTAGTAACAGCAGTCATAAAAACTAATATGATGGGAAACTGGTCACCACCAACCAACCAACTCCTCAGTACAAAGAAGTGTCACGCCCTGCTGTGAGACCTGTTCATCCATCCCACTTCCTGTTTTATTTTGCCGTCACCTCTCCTGTTTCAGTTCTTTTTCCTGTTCCTCATCACTCTGATTTCCCCCAGCTGTGTATTTAACCAGCTTTTGTTCTCTTTCGGCTGCCAGTTCGTTAGTTTTCATTCTCTTGTTCCAGCCAGGTATTAAGCTACTGGTCCTTTGACTCAGTTCTGTTTTTTGATCGTTTTTTGATCCTTAGTTAAATAAGCCTTTGCCTACATAAAAGCCTTGTTTTACCGAACTCTGCATTTGGGTCCAGTCCTTCATACCAGCCCTGACAAGAAGTATTTAATTTATACATGACAACGACACTGGCATTGAGCCTGACGTTTATTATTGTTGCTAGAATAAGTAAATAAATGTAATAATCAAGAAGATAATTTAAAATTTATATAGGGATGTGTATTGGTGAAATTCTGGCAATACGATATGCATCACGATACGGGGGAGACGATACGATATACCACGATATATTGCGATACATTCAGCCAGACAATAGTAGCGATTTTTTTAGACTGAATCTATTGTAGGAAACTTCAATAAACTGCCCAAACTGATACTTAACATGTTTATCGTGATGTATCTGAACCATAATAAAGAGATGTACATTTCAATAGTGGAAACAAAACCCTGCACACTGCTGCCAACTAGAAGTCGGCGTTTGAATTGCACCAAAGGAAATGAAAATACACAAATGTTTGCATGTGAATTCTTCCCAAAATTCGATACACAGCTTTTGAATATCGATATAATATTGCAGGAAACAATATCACGATATATTGCCATATCGATATTTTCTTACATCCCTAAATCAGGGTATCTGCAGATTTAAGGGAGCCAAATTTAAGACTTTTTAAGACCTTTTTTAAGGCCACTTTGACCAAATTTAAGCTATTTTAAAAATTAAATTTAAGCGATAATTTCCAGCTATTGCCTGGAACCGGTGCTAACCGCGTCGCGAATGTGGGATTAACCATCCAGTTACCATTAAACTTGCCCTTCCCCATGGCGCAAGCTCCCACTAGCTTAACCAGCTAATGTGCTTATCTAGAAAAATAGCCCCCTTTCACAACCAACTGACTGCGTACGGTTCCGCTTACGTCAACGTCATACACAAAAAATGCTGAACACTAACTAGAAATTCACGAAATTTTTATAGAAATAAAAGAATCTTGTTTATTGGGTCTTTGGTAATTTAAGACCTCTGGAAACTGGATTTAAGGATTATTTGTCATTTTTAAGGACTTTTAAGGCCTTAAATTAGGAAAAGCTAATTTAAGACTTTTTAAGACTTTTTAAGGACCCGCGGATACCCTGCTAAATGTATATATACATAAATATATATATATGAGAAGGCTGCACAGTGGAGCAGTGGTTAGAGCTGTTGCCTTGCAGCAAGAAGGTCCTGGGTTCGCTTCCCGGCCTGGGATCTTTCTGCATGGAGTTTGCTTGTTCTCCCTGTGCATGCGTGGGTTCTCTCCGGGTTCTCCGGCTTCCTCCCACAGTCCAAAAACATGACTGTTAGGTTGATTGGTCTGTCTAAATTGTCCTTAGTTGTGTGTGTGCATGATTGTGTGTCTCTGTGTTGCCCTGCGATGGACTGGCTCTCTGTCCAGGGTGTACCCCGCCTGATTGCCCATCGACCGCTGGAGATAGGCACCAGCCCCCCCACCCCTCCACCCCCGTGACCCCACATGGACAAAGCGGGTTCAGAAAATGGATGGATAATATATATATATATATATATATATATATATATATATATATATATATATATATATATATATATATATGTATATGTATATATATATATATATATATATATATATATATAAATGTGAAGTACAGATTTTTGTATTTTTGTAGACTTAATTATAATAGAACTAAATGATTTTGTCTGACTGTAATATGAAGCTAATAAAAAGAAAAATAAATTAAAAACTGTTGCAGATATAAGTTTATAAATGTATAATAATGTTTCAGAAGCAGGTTTTCTGACTTACAGATTTACGCAAAGCACCGAATAAGAAACAACGCTGGGAATGTCACATGTTCCAGGAGTCTAGACCAGGCTCTAAACATCCCCTGGTGCTGAGGTGTGGGTAAGAAGTGTGTGACCAGTACCTCGGTGTCTGCACTGGTATTGGAATGAGTCTCTGCCTCTGTTTCCTTCACTTGCTCCGACTTTACTTCCTCCTTCTCTTCTACTTCCTCGGCGTGACCGTTCACGTCTGGGGAAGGCCCCTCTTCTTCCTTTGTAGCCTTGCTAGCAGGTTCCTCTGTGGGCTGAACCTCTTTAGTCGGGGAGGTCTGGATGGGTCAAAGAAAATGTGTTAAACACGTTTAGTCTTGGATTAGAAAAATTCCTGCAGACTCCTGTATTTAGAAGTGTATCCTTTACCTGGCTTTGAGACTTCGGCTTCTTAAACCATGTCGGCAGATATCGAGATATTCCTTTGCCCTCCTTCTCCTCTCTCACAGCGTTTTCTCCTTCCTGGTGTTCCTGCTTGGCTTGCTCTGATTGGTCAGGCCCAGCAGCTGACTCCTCTGCTTTCTCCTTCACCTCTGTCTTAGAGCCTGCCTCTGTTGTCATGGTAACGAGTCAACCTGCATATGGAGTGTAGAAGGATGGCGGAGCGTTAAGACTGAATATTTTACTAACGTGTTTCTCTAGTAAAGATAAGACACAAAAACAGAGGAAACCAAATGGTATTTTAAATATGTCCTCCATACAACACAACAGAACACATCAAATATTAGCAGTCCATATTAGCTCATTCTGATTTCTCTTCCAACACAGCTGTAATAAAAATGAACTTGTCATCTGTTGTATAATTGCTTTATATAAGTTATTGATCACTACTGTTTGTCAATCACACTTATCATGAGGATGTAATCAAGGGTAATCATGGTAGAGGTGTGCAGCTTTGCACGCACATCAGGGAATGTATAAGGAGCAGAGCAGCGCTCAGGGGGGTTAGAGCTGCTTGGAGGATTCTACCTGACGAGGTTCATGGATTACATGTGTTCAGTTCTTCACCTATCATGGATTACGTTTTCTAACTGGGGTGTTCAGCTCTCCACCCATAAGCAACGGTAAGAGAAATGTTTCGTTCATGATTGATAACTTGTATGAATGCCGGTTGAATAAAGCCTTGTTGTTCATCGGATATTCAAGTTGTGTTTCATTGTTTCTGGCGTCGACTTGACAACGATCCTGATTAAATAAATATAAAGTGTAAAAAGAGACTTTGAGTCTTTTAAGGTAATTAAAATAAAATAAAACAATTTTATTTTAGAACAACAGCTGTAAGTAATTGACCTCGAAGATTTTTGAACAGTTAGGCCCTGTCCAGACGTAGCCGGGGATCTGCCAAAACGTAGATATTTTTCTACATTTTGGCCTGTCATCCACACGAAAACGGATCTTTTTAAAAACTCCGGCCAAAGTGAAGATCTGCGTTTTCTCCGTTTTGGGTGTCTGCGTGTGGACGGACAAAACCGGAGTTTTAAGGTCCGCAACGTCACTTTCCGCGACAAAAAATGCTGACATCACGTGTGCGACCTGTGTTTACACTAGCCGACAGCATGGATGCCCTCAAGACAATTCGGGAGAAATACTGCCACCTACAGGTCTGGCATGTCCTTAACAACGTATTTATCCGGGTACGTGTGGACAGTTTTTTTTTAAACGAGGTGGTGTGGACGAAAGTTTTTGGAGGGGCGGATATTCGCTTTTAAAAAAACAGCTACGTGTGGACTAGACCTTAGTTCATGGATTTATTTCCCTTTTTGCAAAAGCAGAGGAAAATAAAAGCGCTCACGGTGTCCCTTAACTACATACAGCAACAGCTGGGTGCAAACACTCGTACATATCCACACATAAAAATGTGAAAGAGTGCAGATTAGACAATACTTTAAGTGTGAGTCACTGCCTTTTACCTTGCAGCTGCACGCAAACACACACACACACACACACACACACACACACACACACACACACACACACACACACACACACATACACACGCTTACTTTAACCCAAACATCTTTGGCAGCGCTGTCCACACATCCCGCCAAAGCAACAGACACGTTTATGGAGTGTGACACTAATTTGCTGATAACACCACATGGCCACACTTTAAGGGAAAGTTGATGCTGACAATCCAACCACGAGGCGCAGAAACTGTGATTTTGACACTTCTTGATTTAATGTGAAGGAAATAAGGGAGGTTTTTAGAAGAGGTTGGTGTCCAAACCAGAAAAAATAAAAAATAAAGCAATGAAGCTGTTTTTAATCTCCTCTCATCACCCACACTTCACTCCTCCTGCCTCCTCTATTCTATTTTTTGTATATGGTATCTTTACTTTCCTCATGTTCACTAAAAATGACGCACACACACACACACACACACACACACACACACACACACACTGCAGCGGTGGTGAGTAGGGAGGGGATTAGAGTAAAAATAGAATAGGTCTTACGCATGATTGGCTGATGACATGGGGCAGAGAGGAAGAGAGGGGTAGAGAACGGTGTATGTCGGTGCGACGGGGCAACCAGCTACGTACCCGGTTTAACAACAACAAATAGAAATAACTCTATTCTGATTTTGTTTCTCTTGTGGTCATGTTTAGTCTTTTGCTTTAGAAAACTGAACTAAATTAACATTTTGGAAACTCCCTTGTAAATTATGTTTGTAATACGTCACCAACAGCAGCAGACCACAGCGACTGGCTTTAGGAAACCCTTAGATGTTTTAGCTAAGGGAACTTTATTTTGTTACCTATCTAACCCGCCTATGTTAGTCAAAACAAGCCTACCAACTAGTCTACTCTTTAGAGATTCTGCGTTTCTCAGTGGACAAGCTCACAGTGTGTTTGGGAGGGATGGCACCCAACCGGAGCTTTGTCACGGTGACTTGTCTGCTTTAAAACTTGCGCTCCTTCCCTACAACCATTTAACACCAGGAACCTTGTTCTTATGCCCTCACAACCTCATCTCACCCTCTCCTCACCCCCTCTCTCGTCTATCTCTCAAGTCCAGAGAACCCCTCTTTTCTCTTTCACTAAATCCCTGCACTCCTCTTTCTCCTCTCTTCCCAGGCCCCTTTTAACACACAACCCCCATCCTTCTGCTGTACATCTCTCTCCAAACTCTTACTTCCTTCTTCTCTTAGACAAGATTAGCAAAAAAACACAATCAACCCCTCTTTATGTGCATCTGCAAAAACACTGATGAGGTTAACTTTCTAGCATGTGATGCGAGTCGCGTGTTTCCGAGCTACAACTGTGGCAGATGTTTCCCACAAAAGAGGTCAAATGCAGGTTAAGCATGCTGAATCACACACTTATCTCCCCAATGAGCTGTTGTCCCATGTTTTGTTTTCTTTATCTCTACTCAGAATTTTGTCTACAGGCACATGCAGCACTAGTTCAGCACCGAGGTATGTTTCCTTAAACTATTTCACAGTTAATTAGTGAGATTAAAGAGGAGAAGCTGTCTAAACAGGCCTGAAAAATCCAGCTGATTCCCTCTAAACAAAATCAGATGGATCGTGTGCAAACAAATACAAAAAGGGCGCACAGAAACACCCTCATTCCAGCATTCTCTTCACATACTTTGCTGACCGTTCGTAGTTTGTTTAGAGTACATCAGCTTTTGAAATTATTATCCAAAAATAGGGCTGCACAATATATCGAAACATTATCGTTATCGCGATAACAGGACGTGCGATAGGCCCATCGCAAAGCACGTCAAAAACGGCGATAAATGTTTGGTTCAACATTTCCATCCGTGTCATACATCAACTTTTTGTAAACCAGCTGTTTTTTACGCGAAAGTATTATTTGACCAATCAAATGTAGTCCTTCTGATATGCGGCCAATCAGATGGGTCCGTTCACATAATACGCCCGCCCCCTACGTAGACCCTTAGGATGGAAAGCAACACCCGAACTGAGTTAGCGGCGCCGTTCCCTTGTTCGTCATGCTGGCTCAGAGCAACGAACGCACTTTGTGCTGAGGTTTCTGGAATCAGCGCCGCTTTCAAACGTGAACGCAAGTCCGCTCGGTGTCTGTAATCATTTTTACCCGGCTGACTCCGACACGTGCCGGTGAACCAACCCACCTTCATGTCGCTAGTGTTCCACCGGGTGGTGATGTTAGCCCCAGGCTCTGGTTAGCTTCCAGCTAAAAGGCTACAGCACTCTCCTCCCAGTCCCACCCTGCTAAAGAGGGCCTGGAAAAGTTCCCCCCCACATCAAAGTGATTTTTCCTTTATGAGCTTTTATAACCTTGTTAATCAGGATAGTTGATTTGCTGCTGCACATAAACCGTCAGTCAGAAGCTCTGCTAGCCGGTTATGCTAGTTCAATTTGTTAGCTTGTTATCAGAATCATAGTTGCAGTTTCATCATCTGAGCTGCTTTTTAAGATCTAGGTAAACTTGTTCAATTTGGGGTTAAAAACAAATGTTTTCACATATTTTCCATGTAGTTTTTTTTGCCAGTTCCTTTTTTGAAAGGTAGACAATTGTTTTTCTCTTTCCCTCAGAAAATCTTAATATTCTCCTAGTTTGGACCAGCAATCATAACCACATAAGTGGAGAAAATGTTCAGTAGCAATGAGAGAGAATTTGCTGTTGCATGTAAGTGATGTTAGCTATTATTTAACATTTAAACTTATTTTCTGATTGTTTTTATTTATTCAGAAAACCCTGGTAAGGGATGTTTTTCTGTATTTGGAGCATCAGAAAAAGTTTTATGGTGGAGGTGATGTTTTAAAGTCACTGAGAAACTGCATGCATGCAGTTTGTTGTTTTGCTGCTAATACAGTAGCAGGTGCAGCTGCTAAGACAGTAGTAGGTGCAGCTGCTAATACAGTAGCGGGTGCAGCTGCTAATACAGTAGCGGGTGCAGCTGCTAATACAGTAGCAGGTGCAGCTGCTAATACAGTAGCAGGCGTAGCTGCTAATACAGTAGCAGGTGCAGCTGCTAATACAGTAGCGGGTGCAGCTGCTAATACAGTAGCGGGTGCAGCTGCTAATACAGTAGCAGGTGCAGCTGCTAATACAGTAGCAGGCGTAGCTGCTAATACAGTAGCAGGTGCAGCTGCTAATACAGTAGCGGGTGCAGCTGCTAATGCAGTAGCAGGTGCAGCTGCTAATACAGTAGCAGGTGCAGCTGCTAATACAGTAGCAGGTGTAGCTGCTAATGCAGTAGCAGGTGCAGCTGCTAATACAGTAGCAGGTGTAGCTGCTAATACAGTAGCAGGTGCAGCTGCTAATACAGTAGCAGGTGCAGCTGCTAATACAGTAGCAGGTGCAGCTGCTAATACAGTAGCGGGTGCAGCTGCTAATACAGTAGCGGGTGCAGCTGCTAGTACAGTAGCGGGTGCAGCTGCTAATACAGTAGCGGGTGCAGCTGCTAATACAGTAGCGGGTGCAGCTGCTAATACAGTAGCGGGTGCAGCTGCTAATACAGTAGCGGGTGCAGCTGCTAATACAGTAGCGGGTGCAGCTGCTAGTACAGTAGCGGGTGCAGCTGCTAATACAGTAGCAGGTGTAGCTGCTAATACAGTAGCGGGTGCAGCTGCTAATACAGTAGCGGGTGCAGCTGCTAGTACAGTAGCAGGTGCAGCTGCTAATACAGTAGCAGGTGCAGCTGCTAATACAGTAGCAGCTGCAGCTGCTAGTACAGTAGCGGGTGCAGCGCTAATACAGTAGCAGGTGCAGCTGCTAATACAGTAGCGGGTGCAGCGCTAATACAGTAGCAGCTGCAGCTGCTAGTACAGTAGCGGGTGCAGCGCTAATACAGTAGCAGGTGCAGCTGCTAATACAGTAGCGGGTGCAGCGCTAATACAGTAGCAGGTGCAGCTGCTAATACAGTAGCAGGTGCAGCTGCTAATACAGTAGCAGCTGCAGCTGCTAGTACAGTAGCGGGTGCAGCGCTAATACAGTAGCAGGTGCAGCTGCTAATACAGTAGCAGGTGCAGCTGCTAATACAGTAGCAGGTGCAGCTGCTAATACAGTAGCGGGTGCAGCGCTAATACAGTAGCAGGTGCAGCTGCTAATACAGTAGCGGGTGCAGCTGCTAATACAGTAGCGGGTGCAGCTGCTAGTACAGTAGCGGGTGCAGCTGCTAATACAGTAGCAGGTGCAGCTGCTAATACAGTAGCAGGGGCAGCTGCTAATACAGTAGCAGGTGTAGCTGCTAATACAGTAGCAGGTGCAGCTGCTAATACAGTAGCGGGTGCAGCTGCTAATACAGTAGCGGGTGCAGCTGCTAGTACAGTAGCAGGTGCAGCTGCTAATACAGTAGCAGGTGTAGCTGCTAATACAGTAGCGGGTGCAGCTGCTAATACAGTAGCGGGTGCAGCTGCTAATACAGTAGCGGGTGCAGCTGCTAGTACAGTAGCGGGTGCAGCTGCTAATACAGTAGCAGGTGCAGCTGCTAATACAGTAGCAGGTGCAGCTGCTAATACAGTAGCAGGTGTAGCTGCTAATACAGTAGCAGGTGCAGCTGCTAATACAGTAGCAGGTGCAGCTGCTAATACAGTAGCAGGTGCAGCTGCTGATACAGTAGCAGGAGCAGCAGCTAATACAGTAGCAGGTGCAGCTGCTAGTACAGTAGCAGGTGTAGCTGCTAATACAGTAGCAGGAGCAGCTGCTAATACAGTAGCAGGTGTAGCTGCTAATACAGTAGCAGGAGCAGCTGCTAATACAGTAGCAGGAGCAGCTGCATATTTTTGCAATGAAAATGTTATGTTGTAATGGAATTCATGCATTAGTTTTTATTTGCTTTGAGCCCAGAGCAGACGTCACACGCCAGACAACATCAACACTGCATACTTCAGTATTTGTTCATTTATCGTTAGTAATATCGATATCGCAATATTAAGCACTGTTATCGAATACCGCAGGTTTTCCTATCGTGCAGCCCTATCCAAAAGCTTGAATAATTGTTGTTTACTTGCATCTATTTAATATGTTGCGATTTACATTAATTAGATGTTGCACACAACAGTCACAGGAGTAGGTCATCAGTAAAGACAGAAATTAGGAAATGTATCTGCTGCTCTATGTGAGAAAATCTGAAACATTTCCACCTGTTACAACTGCTCTGTTAGTATTTACCACATTAATGGTTAAATGAACTGATGAACTAATGTCCTTACCTACAGTTGCTTTTGTTCTCTACTTTCCCTTGTAACACCTTTCCTTTTTCTTCCTCCCTCCCGTGTTTCCTCACCTACTGATTCCCCTCAGATCTTTCTTTATGAATCTAACTGCCTTTCTTTCCTTTTAATTTCACGTCCCACCTTGCTTTAAATGCCTGCCCTAGTAAGTGTCATTGCCATTTTCTCTCCTTTATCCTCTCCTCTCTCTCCCTCAGAGCTCTGCTTCCCTCAGGACTGTCGCTGTTAGAAATGAGGACAGAACATGAGGGAGAACTCATGAGGGAGGGGCAGAGATACCAAAGAGAAGAGAGCAGTGGTGAGAAAGAGAGACAGAGGAAAACTGGATGAGGAATTCATAAAATAGAAATACCTGACGCACATGCCAACAGACCTAGTTTTGACATTAGAAGTGGAAGGGGACACAACTGGCATGAGGACCGGGAGTGTGTGTGTGTGTGTGTGTGTGTGTGGGGGGGGGGGGGGGGGGGAGATCTTTACATGAAGTATACAAGGAATATGTATAAAACTACAGCCTAGAGACTCTTATGCTACGTCAGGAATGCAGAACTGTCAAGTACACAGGTGGCAGGAACAGCCAATCACAAGTTAGCAAGTATTAGCAGAGCCAGTAGATGAGCTTATGGACAGTTCCAGGACATAGCACAATGGGGGCTCGTCCGGGATGGAACTGTAACATGGGGAACAGGCTTCAACACAAGCGGCTGTTTTCCATTTGGTCCTAGTGCCCAACCAGTGTTTATTCAATATATTTTATTGTTTCTGGATGGCAAAAAGTGCAGGTGACGAAAATTGACTTTGGAAAAAGTGTGTGCGTGTGTGTGTGGGGGGGGGGGGGGCATGTCCCCCCGTCTCCTCGCAAAACTACAGTTATGCACGTGCCTAATGTATCAGATTATCAAAGGACAACAAGAGACATGGAAATTAAGCTGGGCAATCTGTTCCTTCTTTTTTCTATGAGGTTCTATTTTTTGATTAACTGACAGGATTGACCTTTTCCTCTTTTTTGGGAAAACTAGTAGAAATTAAAAGCAGCACATTTGCTTTTTACTATATGTAACTCGAGACATACCACAAAAAACCCTGCACTGCTTTTCTATCTATTATCTATTAAGTCATTATTTTATTTTTGAACTAAATCTCTGGTCTGGAGATTTAACTTTTCCACATTTTGGAAATTGTTGTTTTTACTCCTGAATGACCAGATTTCTGTCACAAAAACAGACCTTCTATGGAGAGTAGCAGGGTAAACGAGTGGAGGAGCCCGGTATCTAAGGGGGAAGGCATTCATGGCCTGGGACAATAAATCCCCATAGAGACGAGAGATTTCCATGCTGAAAATAAAGATTACTTGACAAGTGTGTTGGTGACAATGGAGATTATTACCATGTCTAACCTCATTTCAAACCACGTCAGATTTAAAGGCAATATTTATTCAGGACCTCCCGAAGCTGACACAAACGTTTTTCACCTCTCTGACTCTTCTTCACTTATTCTCACCTCCCAAAAGACAACAGTACTTTATTTACAACAAATGTTTGTCCCTAAAACACTGTACCTTGCTGCTACTGCAACATGTAATTAGAGAAAATAATCATTCTATGGATGTCACACACTTGCAAAATACACAACAATGCAACAAGTTTCAGCTTTCCAAAGTGTTGCATCATAAGCCAACAGCTGACAGTTCCACGGGCACGGTTTTGAAAAGCCACACAAGCAGCGTTCAAAATCCTAATCTGTGCTGTTCAGTATGATCTCTCCATCTGCCGTGCAAACACACAACAAACACACACACACACACACACACACAGGAATGAAACACACATGCAGATACATAAACACATTTCTAAACATATTCTCAATAATGCACAAAAATAAACAACAAAAACAGCCTCTCAAGTGCACAATAAACCCAGCTGTGTACAAAAAGTGGTGGTGTGAAAATTCAGAACATGCCTGTCCATCTAAACGACACTCTGACCCTCAAACTGAGGATTACATTAAGGATAATCCCTGTGTATGTTTCTGAGTCTGTCATTCTGCCTGCCTGTCTGTCTGCCTGTCTGTCTGTCCACTCATCCCCCCTTCTAGCTCTCTTTACTTACATCTACACCTTCAACTGCCATCAAATATGACGTGAACACATGGAGTAGTGTTTGCTTGCAATTTGAGCTCGAAATGAAAGTCCAGATCCAAAGTGATTCTTAAGAGAACAGTGCCGTGTCATTACCTTTATTATTGTATCATTACTGTCAACTCATAGCTACAATTGTCTGCTGCAAAACTCTGACCTTTGACCACACCAGTTCTTAAGCCTAATTTATACTTCTCCGTTAGCTCCACGAAGGAGAGACACACATGCACGCACAGAGATGTTTTGCCTTCGGACTTCTCCGTCTCCTGGGGAGCGTTGCAAAGCAATCCCCCGCCAGGACAACAGAGGGCGTAGGGCTGTTCTGTGGTATCCTGTCATGAATCCGATCCAAGATAGTGTGCTTATATTGTGTTTTGCTTTTTAACACAGACAAATTTGTCCCTCATTCTCCTCCACCTCTTCATGCGCTCGCCACCTCTAAACCCACATTTCCCATCATTTCCGCTCACGAATAAAACACTTGCTGCATATCTTTTCACTCCTCCAGTCACGGGGGAATAAAACTTTCATATTTTTAGACTTTTTCCGCGGCGTGTTCTTCAAGATTCTCCGTGTCTGTCGCTAGATATCCTCGGATCTCGTGTTTATGAGGGCGCAATGGTGGCGCTGTAAACGACTACGGCATCCTGACCAATCACAAACTTGAGTTCTCCGTCTCGACGAACGGATGTTTTGAAAAGAGGGCTCGACTCCATCCGTCCCCGCGAGGGCTCTCCAGCAGGCTCACAAGGACGAATAATGGCGTTGGGTGCGTCCGACCCGACGCAGACGGAGAAGTGTAAATTAGGCTTTAGTGAATGTTTCCAACTAGCATTATGAGTAAAAAGTTTTTTTTTAATCACTGGTGATCCAAATTCTGCTTAGATAATCAGACTGACTGCAAGTGAAAATAATTAGTAACATAAAGTAATCACAGACACCAAATGGTATCTTTGTATCTATGGATCAGGGTGCGGCTGTGATGCTGTTGTTAGTGGGCCTAACAGCTGCCATTGACACAGTCGACCATGACATTCTGCTGGATCGCCTAGAGCGGTGGCCGGGGATCACAGGGTTGGCCCTTGAATAGCTGCGGACATACCTCTTGGGCAGGAGGTTTTGTGTATAGGTGGGCGATGCTGTGTCACCTTGGCACAAGCTGGCTTCTGTGTGACCTTCATCACCCTCTCCTTGTTCTGCTCTCCCTACCTATTCCACCTTCCTCAGGATCCACAGATTTTCCTCTTTCCTATTCACTCTCTCTCTCATTCTTTACATTTTTAATCACACTTGTCTATTTTTTGCTCATTTAAAATATATTTTTAATCATTTTCCAAATTCTTTTTTACATTTTTAATTTTTTTGTTTTTGTGAAGCGCCTTGTGATTTTTATCTTGAGAGGTGCTATAGAAAAGATCTTTTCTTCTTCTTCTTGGGAAGACTTAAGGTTGGGGGGTACCACACGGTTCTGTCCTGGGGCCACTCCTCTTTGCTCTTTATTTACTTCCCTTGGGGGCACTCCTGCGCAGTCCTGGTGTTAAGTTTCAACTAGGGTTGTCACGGTGTGAAAATTTAACCTCACGGTTATTGTGACCAAAATTACCACGGTTTTCGGTATTATCGCGGTATCTTTTTAAAATGTGCTACATTTTCACACAATTAAATAAACCCTGTATGTCAGGAAATTTGTCCTCAGTTTGTGTCTAAATTTTTCCTAAAATGTGTTATTTTGTAATTATGTTGTTTATTTGTTTACATTTTCCCCCTTTAGTCCTTAAAATACCAAAATTTGCCCATAACTTCTTATTTTTTGTCTGTTTGATGTCATCATTTAAAAATATTAGATCAGATGATAGTCAGTACTCAAGCAGCCTTCTAATCAGATACTTTTTTACCCTTACTTGAGTAATAAACCCTATATCAGGAAAATATTGTCCTCGGTTTGTGTCCTTCCAGTGAGCTTTGCAGATGTGGGAAAATGTCATCAGGCAGGAATCATTGTTAAATTCATAATTATTCTCGGAGAGAGACCAACTCTTATCTGCCCCTGGGAGCCCCGTAATGCATAGCGTCATTTCAACATGGGGGTGTCCGCGACACGGTTTATATGCAGGTAGCGGTGCTGCGGCTGCTTTATATTGCGACTCGTTGCATTCTCCCTCAACCCAAATCCTCGGATCACACATTTTAGCTAAAACGCTAACGTTAGCTTGCCTTGCGTTGACTGTATAGTTGTGGGTGATGGTCACGCAGATGTGTCATGAGATTAGAAGCGTTGCTGCCTTTCACAGACACTTTTTCTGCACGTGCTGCAAACAGAATAGCCGTCTTCTATCAGCTGTCCCTCGGCATTCTTCATATATCTAAAACATGCCCGTACTTCCCACTTTGTCTTCTTTGAGCGATAAAAAAATGTCCTGAGCGCTGCCGTCACCTCCTTTGGCCATTATTTCAGCTTTAGCTTCAAGAAAGTTTTGGTTGTAAACAACAAAGTGCGCATGTGCCGCCGGCAACTTCAGCAGATGATACGGTGGCTGGTAAGGGTCAACGTGCCTACACCGCAGTCACGGTAATCCCACCGAGATAATATAGTTTTTTTTTTTAAACAAGACAGTTATTATTATTGTCAACTTTTTTACCGGGGTTTACCGCTACACCGGTTACCGTGACAACCCTAGTTTCAACTGTATGCAGATGACTGCTAGATTTATTTTAATCTGTTTCCAGGGGAAAGGGGCTCTCTTTCTAATCTTCTGGCATGTAAGTCCTGGCTTGTAGCTAATTATCTTCACGTGAATGAGTGCAAAACTGAGCTTATTACATTTCTCTCGTCTAGTATGGTGGGTGTGAGTTCTGTTCCCAATTTAGATGTTCTCTCTCCCTAACAGAACTCGGTTGTCAACAGCCTGAGGGTGAGGCTGGATGCAAAACTTAAATTGGAAGCTCACATCAACATGGTTGTATGAGCCTGCTTCTTTAACCTGCGATGGCTGACCAAAATCATGCCCATGCTGTCTCGAGCGCATATGGAGTCTGTGCCCCATGCGTTTGTTTTATCCAGGCTCGACTATTGTAATGCTTTATATGTTGGGCTAA